GAAGAGCGATTCACAGATGTAAAAGAGGCAGACAGACACAAAGGCAGAGAAAAGGGTAAGATGAGTACTGTGGAAGCGGTCGAATATGACAAGCAGTCGTACCATGGTATTTTGAAGTCAGAAGTCAACTCCCAGTTAATAGACTTTTTTGCCGTATGAGTATACGTTGCCCAGGGTGCACCACGTGGAGGTAAGTCTATCGCACACCCCTTAAAATTCAATATTATTTTAGCTTTAAAGTTTTGTTAGTAAATNTAAATCTCCCATTAAAAACTTACTTTATTTGAATTCTGCATTAATCAAGTTTGCCCACTTTGCTCATAAAGCATAACTTACAAAATTCCTGATTAAATTCACGTCAGGATGTACAAAAATAATTGATATGTCGGTTTCAAGAAACTAAGAGGGGCTGCCAGTACCAACTAGACCACAATTTAACAAGATGAAATGATTTTTTTTATTTATATCAAATGGCAGGCGTCTTGATGGTTATCATTAGCCCTTTAGTTGACTCCGGGCTTCACAGAGAGGAAAGAACATCAAATTGGAAAAAGTCGAGAGGGGGGGGGAACAGAAGAGAGATTTACAGATGTAAAAGAGACAGACAGACAAAGGGTTGTTAAGATGTGTCAAATTGACGCTCTAATAATGAGTAGAGTAAAAGTTTGGGTGACCTCGTTTATGCAAGTAACGAAACAAATTTAAAAAATGAATGCAGTGAGGACGCATTTCAGCATTAAGCTGAGCTGAGCTGAACTGGAGGAGATGTCATTAAGGCATGTCAGTTTTGGAGTTCAAGCTATCTTCCATAGTCAAACGAATATGAAAAACGGCATCGAATGCACCTTCAAAGCTAAGTTTCAATTGAACAGAATTGAATAGAAAAGTCATGTTAATTATAAGGATAATATCGAAATTGTATAATATTTCAATACTCCGTTAAATCGAATGTCAAAAGGACCTTGACAACCATGCGTTTTTCTACCCAATTCCAGTTTTTGGTGAAATTATTTTAATCAAGTAGATAGAAGAAAATAGGCAAATATTTTGTGTAAACTTCTCCTTTCGTAATGAGAAATCGTATTCACAGGAATTCCACTATTGCATGACACTGACACCACTAAAGACCAGTAATAAAATGCATTAAATAAACTCAAATTATGAAACGAATCAACAAGTTTCAGTATTGTGCTTTCGGAGTTTATCTTAAGTCAACTTTAAAATAATCTCATAAATAATACGCTCTTTTTTTTAAAACAACACGTCTGACGTGGTAGAACTTTTGAGGGAGATTAATTGTATGGGCGAACCCACGTTACAAGCATAAAGTTGGATGCTAGAACATAGCGCCCCCCCCCCTTAAAAGATACGCACTGGGCTCCTCGTAACTACCGTGACTCATATTAGTCTAGATCCGCAACTATGCTAATTAGTAGTCCTAGAAATCTAAACCTAAGCAACACATTTTAAGGAGCTTCATATTTAGTGGGTGGTGGAGTAGTTCCGTCTTATTTCGAAATCAACAGGTTACTTATTGTGAGTTTTTATGAGCGAAGATGAGAACACACAACAATTGGATTGTTAACAAGCATTTGCCCACTAATTTCCAAAATTATTTAGTAAGGCACTTCTCAATACTCACCCTTGGGTAAGTGACATCAAAGTGCATCTCTGGTAAGGAAAGTGAATGTTGCCACTACCCATATCAGCCACTGGGTCTGCGTCGATGGACTTCGAGCATGACAGACGTTGAGAATCACCAATGCACCACAGAACTAATTCGTTTTTTGCAATCGTAGATCGTTCGCCGACTCCATTAATGGCCATGATTTCTAATGGGAGCTCATGAATATTTTTTGCATCTACTTGAATATGTACTTTAGTGATGAACCATCACCAGCTTTCCACTAAGAAAACGCAGAGAGCTATTTGAACTTCTTTGAAAGCGCAAACCTCCGGAGGTCTAAAGAAAAAAGTTAATTTTCAATAGCAAAAGCGTTAATTCTTGCTAATTTTCATAAAATATGTTGAGGAGTTTACGTTTTGAAGCTAAAAAGTTACAAATGAATGTACGTGGTTCCCGGTACTAATAAATTTTGCAACAGATAATTAGTTGTATACACTAACGGTTGTTACGTTGTGGCTCTAAATAGTAGGGCACCCCTGTTACAACAAGGGTACCTTGATGGTTCTGTTGTGTGACTCACTCAAAGTCTGGAACGGCTTAGTCTGTTAAAACTTTTATTTCCGGTGATTTATTGCTCCCCCCACCCAAAGGCATTAACTTGGAAGGGGTTGTTGAAAAGGTTTAAAATATACGAAATTACTGACGTGTCTATATTATTGGCGAATTCGAGGGCGATTAGGTGTGAACTCGGATGGGAGAGGGGTTGGGGGTGGGGGGGTGAGGGGGGTGGGGGGAGGGTGTATGGCGAATTAACATCGTTGAGACGGTGAGGGTTAGGGAATTTCGAGGACTACAAACGCGGAAGGAGAATTATAATCCTCGGTCTATTTTACTAAATAAATATTTTTGCACAGTCGAGGCTCAGTAATTTTTAAATTGGACATTGAATGCTTTTGTTGAGGTGATCTCGTGTGTAATGCCTAAGGTGACGTTGTTGCAAAATTGTACTCGGGCAACTCCATTTGAATGAGATAATTGAGCCATGTGTGTATTTTAATCAATAAATCACTCTGGTATTTTTAATCTTATTAAGGACTAGAAAATGAAAGGAACTAAGAAATTTAATAATAATAATAATAATTTAGATTAATGTGTCCACAATACTTTTTCATCAGTTCACTTTTCTTTTTAATTATCCGAAACCATGTACAATTTCGTTAGCTAATTATTTATTTAAATTGGATTAAATTTAAAATTGGTTTGAACAAAGTATGAGTTGTATAAAACAAAGCATCAGTCTATTGACCATAGACATTTATTTTATTTATTTCAAACGGCAGGCATTTTGATAGTTATCATTAGCCCTTTAGTTGACTTCGAGCTTTGCAGAAGGGAGGAACATCAAAGTGAGAAAAATTCGACAAGGGAAAAGAAGAGTGTTTCACAGATGCAAAAGAGACAGACAGACACAAAGGCAGAGAAAGGGTAAGGTGAGTACTGTGAAAGTGGGTCGAATATGGCATACAGTGGGGGTAGTTTGAAGTCAGAGGTCAACTACCAATTGATAGACTTTTTGGCCGTATGAGTATACGTTGCCCAGGGTGCACCACGTGGAGGTAAGTCTATCTCACACCCTTAACCATAGACATTAAAATTTGCTTTCGATAGAGCGAGGAAATGTTAAGTAGTAAATATGATCATGACCCTAATTGTGTTTGTTTGAATATTATCTGGGTATCTGTCATGTGGGGCACGCCACCATGTGCACCCTATGAGAGTTTACAGCCTCAGACATTTAAGAAACCACCCACCGATACTCATCTTGGTCGGAGAAATATGGCTGTTCTTCGGTAGGCAGGAAATCACAAACTTCTGACCACTTCCAATTAGTACACTTGATTATAGTGGTGTCTTGGCAGATGGGCATGATAATCGCTATACTACTAGCCCACATACTGAAAAATAAACAAAAGATATTTTGTTTTTTTAGAATGGATTTCAAAAGATTGTATAACAAAATTATTTTAAATTACCCCCAGTCTATTTGGTATTTCATATAGTAATTGCGATCGCCGTTGAATGGGAACATTATTGCGGATAGAGAAAGTACACCTTAGAAGATTTCTGACGTAAAGTTCTACGCAAGAAGAGTTAATTCTGACCGATGGTAGTAAATTAAACCATCTACAAATTATCATAATGTTTCCTCGTGGTGTTTTGAAAGAACCTGTGAAAGTTCTCAGAAGGCGAAAATGAGGACTCTTCCATACGGCGAAAAAAGTCACGTTTCGAGCATAATTGCACAAAATTTCACTTCAAATACCATCTCTATAATAATTGGTTTGAACGCTTTCAAGGCTATGGATCGATTATTATATTTATTTATTTATATCAAATGGCAGGCGTTTTGATAGTTATCATTAGCCCTTTAGTTGACTTCAAGCTTCACACAGAGGGGAAGGAACATCAAAGTGAAAAAAGTCGAGAAGAAGGGGGGGGGAATAGAAGAGTGTTTCAGAGACAGATACAAAGGTAGAAAAAAGGCAAGGTGAGTACTGTAGAAGTGGCCGACTATGAAGTGAGAAGTCAACTGCCGGTAAATAGACTTTTTTTGCCGTATTAGTATACGTTGCCCAGGGTGCACCACGAGGAGGNAACGGGATTTAATTTAAATTGATTTTTTTTATTAAAGTGCACTTAATAGAATTCAATATTTATTTCAAATGGCAGGGGTTTTTATAGCTATCATTAACCCTTTAATTTTCTTCGGGCTTCACAGAGGGAAGGTTCATCAAAGTATCAGAAAGTCGAGGGGTGGGGAACAGAAGAGCGATTCACAGATGTAAAAGAGGCAGACAGACACAAAGGCAGAGAAAAGGGTAAGATGAGTACTGTGGAAGCGGTCGAATATGACAAGCAGTCGTACCATGGTATTTTGAAGTCAGAAGTCAACTCCCAGTTAATAGACTTTTTTGCCGTATGAGTATACGTTGCCCAGGGTGCACCACGTGGAGGTAAGTCTATCGCACACCCCTTAAAATTCAATATTATTTTAGCTTTAAAGTTTTGTTAGTAAATAATAATAGTTTTTTAAAAAAAAGGTATCCAAATGGCAGTTTGGGAATAAATGTTGATGTAGCTTCCCAATTCTGGATCGAAATTTTATATTCCATGAGTTTTATTACTTAGTTCACAAAATTGTAATAATTTCAAAGTACTCCAGTGTTTCGACTTAATTTTAGATAAACTTTTTTTAAAACAAAGCTAATCTGTAGAAGTCAATAAAAAATGCGTTGAAATTGTGAACTAAAGTAGGCTTTTTCAACGATAGCAGGATCGGCTGATAAAGTTTCGCGATCAATTTGAACCACTGATGAAGAAGCCGCGAATCAAGTTGAAATTATTCGGCTCCTCGCTGTCGGGCAAAACAGCGCTCTCGTCTTCCCTCCGCTCTGGCTTCATCGCCGGCTACTTTAAGCGCAAAATGAAAGCAATCAGTCATATGGCTGATTGGCTTACCGATGGAGGTCAGTTGTCGAACTCTGCTTATTGGATACCTTGTAAAATCAATGAATTTGCTTTAAAAACGACCTTCTTTCTTTGCGAACTATGTATTAATATGTCCAATATTCTCTTTGTTCTGACTACTTGTCTGAAGGTGATTGATAGAATATGTAGCTCAAATGATATGATCGTACTCAAGAACATAATTATGTCACCTTTTAAACGTTCTGCACACTCGAAATGTACAGACATGATTGTGATCATGTGAGTTAATCACTGCGAGACAATTTCATTCGATTTGGTATTGTTAGCTAATTCAGCCTTCGAGATTTCGTTGCGCCAATAGAGACAAAGGGAGAATTGAGCTTCATCAGGTTGCCTAATTGTATTCCACCAGGAAAGAAAAAACAAGACAATGTTGAAGGCATCCAATTTTTTTTCATTCATGTTTTCAATTTTACTTTTCTTTACTTGATATATTGTCTGCCTGCTTCTAATTAGTTTGCTTTATCGATTACTTTCAAGCTAAGGCGTCCAATATCCTACCTAAATATAATTTTATATTTAATAATGATATCTTTCACTCTAACGCGCCATTTTGATTTTCCATTCCAAACTTGAATTCATTTGTTAAGTTTATCTCAAACACGAACAATTTTTAGTTCATTGCATTAATTTAACAAAATTGTCAGTAATCTGCATGGGATTTTAAAATTTGATTTGGCGCCAATTTATGCGACTTAGAAGTTATTTCCAGAATGAGGGAGTGTAAAATTGGCAGCATTAAATAACCTGTGGTAGGTTATCTCATTCTCTATATAAATTTGAATGCGTAGAGAGAAACTGTATTTTGAATTCTATAGACTTACCTCCACGTGGTGCAACTTGGATAACTTATAAACCAGCAGTTGACTTCTAACTTTAAATTACTATGACACTACTGCGTGTCACATTCTACCACTTCTACAGTACTCACGTCACCTTGTTCTCTACCGTTGTGTCTGCCTGTCTCTTTTACATCTGTGAATCACTCTTCTGTTCCCCCTCTCGACTTTTTCTCAGTTTGATGTTCCTTTCCTCTGTGAAGCCCGAAGTCAGCTAAGCGGCTAATGATAACTATCGACACGCCCTGCCATTTGATAAAAATAGATCTCCATAAACTCGTTTCAAGCTCATAGTAACTTGATCATCAAGGTTAGTCATTTTGTTCACCGGATTCGCACCCATGGCTTCTAATTTTACAGACGTACTTGTTGACTGCTATGCTGCCAGTGAAATTTTAAACAAAAAAGCCGCTTTCCGTAAACGT